TAATTTCCACTTTCATAATGTTGTGGTCAGAAAAGATGCTTGATAGGATTTCAGTCTTCTTGAATGTATTCTTGTTTTGTGGCCTACCAAGTAATCTGTACTGAAGAGTGTTCCATGTACACTTGAAAAATAGGTCTATTTTGCAGTTTAGGATAAAATGTTCTATATGTATCTATTAAGTCCATCTGGCCTAAAGAGTCACCTAGGGCCAATCTTTTCTTACTTATTTTCTGTCTGGGTGATTTATCCATCGATGTCAGTGGGGCTTATTAACGTCTCCTACTATTACTGTATTACTGTCAATTGTGCATTTGTTAACATTTGCTATATTAGTAATTGAGATCATTTTTTAAAAATATGTCATTTATGGCAAGTGCAGTGCCTGCTCGGTTAATTTGTGTATGGTTTGGTCTAAGGTATTACCCATCTGGTAGCAGAGTGTTTACCTTTTTTTTCTGGAGTTGGGAGTTTTCATTATTTTAATTTTAAAAAGTTGGGGACTCATTGAACTTTGTCCATGAAGAACCCTCAATTAGAAAACTTGGCTCTGTTGCTTTCTTCTTGTGGAGTTTGATGGACCTACTTTAATATATGTTAGTTGACCAGACTGGTTTGTTCACTCGGTTTGAACATCAGCGTAGCTGGCAAAGGTGCATGTTCCACCTGTGTAGGAGCCGTGAGCACATGCTCCCGGGCTGTAGATGCCCCAGTCTCCATGTACACCTACACGCTACTCCTAAGAAACACAAACACTTCTGCACTCCAAGCATACGCTTCATATTTTGGGTACAGGAGGCTGTATATCCTATTATTTAGTTGATAGGGTCACACATCTTGTTTACCTGGAGGAGGTAGAGTAGCTAGTTCAGAGTAAAATACAGTTTATTTATTTATTTTTAAAAGATTTTTATTTATTTATTTGACACAGATCACAAGTAGGCAGAGAGGCAGGCAGAGAGAGAGGAAGGGAAGCAGGCTCCCTGCTGAGCAGAGAGCCTGATGCAGGGCTCGATGCCAGGACCCTGGGATCATGACCTGAGCTGAAGGCAGAGGCTTAACCCACTGATCCACCCAGGTGCCCCCAAATACAGTTTAAATAATGTTGTGGATATGCCTTTTCCATTTGGAAGACAGAAAATGAATGAAAGGAGAAACCGTATGGTGAGCTAGGCAGTCAGGTAACAAGGAACCGTGAACTGCTTTTTTTTTTTTAATGTCTTAATTACATTCTCTGAGGCAGGGAGATGCTCCTTGCCACACATGCAAAGACATCGCTAGAGTTTTTTTTCCTGCTGTTCCCATAGACAAATTATCTTTGCTCAGAAAGGACTGCAGCGATCCAAGACTGTTACTCTGACCACCTTTAGGCATTAAAATGCTAAATGTTGTGGCTACCAAAAAAAGAAAAAATTAGGTAACAGGATTTTTGGGGCTTGTTAAAGTCCCTGTTTACTGTTTAAGACAACAAAGACACCTCTGTTAGGTTTTTGGGACAGTTGCTTAAGTTTCAATCCCTGAAAAGCTGTGCGTCTGGACATAAAGAGTACACTGAAAGAGAAGTTTTGACTTCTAAGCATAGACTTCATTGTGATGTGGATTATTTCTTAGTGTTCAGTTAGTACGAGCTTATGCATTTAGTCAGTGGCTTTATCACTGTCATCCGATTTTGTGTGTTTCAGACATTTTTTATTCTGAACTACATATAAGCACTAAGAGTATGGATTAAACCTTCGATTTAAGAAATGATTATGTAGGTTTCCTCCAGCTGGAATTTGTCCCATTTAGTATTTGACCTAGTAGCAATAATTGATTTCCTTTGCCTTAAGTTTGGGTTTCTTTTTCACTTTGGCAAGTTTCTTACACAAAGAACAAGTTGAGATCTTGTGATGTCTCTTTTTAGAACACCCAAGAAAAGGGGATTTACAAGTTCCCAAAGCCAAAAAAAATCCTGCTCCCAAGTCTTGCCCACCAGAAGGAAGTTGTTGCAGTCCGTGCTATCTTAACCACAGTGCAGGTCCCATGTCTGCAAGCCACCGAAACTATTACTAAAGACAGAAATTTCGGATGATACCAGAGGACCAGTTTCACAGCCAGTGACTTATTTGAAATTGCTTTAAGCTTAAAAATGAAAAAACTCAAAGATGTAGTTGAGAGAATGAGTGAGTGTGGGCTGGCTGTATCATGGGTTGTCAGCGATCACCAAGGATTTTGCACAAACACAACCTTGCTCCTTTTCTTCTCCTGTGTTCTGCACCTCTTCCAGCAGGTGTCACTATAATCACAGAACAAACATTCCACAGCATGGTATGTAACTTTATTTTTCTAGCATAATAATTTAAAGTATTTACACACTGCACACACACTGTTTTACACAGATACTTATTCATATACCTATGAACCACATCTAAAGGTTTCTTTGCAAAGACTCGACACACGGGGAATTTCCAAGCATAACAAAGAGAAGAAAAGGACAAAATAAATTTTGAGTCTTTTAAAGACAGCCATGTGGAGCATCTGTGAAAACCAGTGTTTTCCCCCAATTTTAAGCTCCCCCAAGAGACCTCTGAATAGCTACAGCCTATCCACGTGTTGATACAACCTGAAACTCTGGGCTGAGGATTTAAAAAATTAAAATGTACAAGTACTATTTTCTCTAGAAGTTCTAGCTAGAAGAGGAAACGGAAAAACGATCTGGTCCTTCTCTAGAGAAGCATCTGTATTTGTCAGTTATCTGTGGGGACTGTAAATGTTGTGCAGGGACATTGTAAAGGGCAATAGCCAAATACACTGGTACAAATACTAGTTATAGAGAATGCTTTTAAGTGGCCTTCCCAGCTCTATATGGCCACACAGCGTAAGTGTCTTTTCCCCAACTGTAGAGGTGGTGGTTTCACTTTCCCTGAAAAGGACAAAGGTTCTTTTAACCATAAACACTCTAAAGCCAGATACTGTAGAAAGTTCTACTGCTTTTGCTTCACTTTCATACTGTTTGCACAAGAATAGTGGTTATAAGTACTCTATTTTTCCTCCTTTGTTCTATTCAATTACATAACAAAATTGCTAGCTAACTCTAGCTTCTGATCCTGGCACATGGTTCCGTAGGTGAACCAAAACAGCCCCAGTTTAGAGGTGATGGCAGGTGGGCCCCTGTCCAGTTTTATAAAAAGGTAACGGGTGTAGGTTTCAGTTCTCTGGTGTTGCATCTTTGTCAAGGAAGCGGCAGGATGCCTTTTTGATTTTTCCCAGACTTGCCAAGTGATTCTGTCATACACTAGAAAACAAGCGGAGGCTTGCCGCCTACAGATGAACCCACAGCTCCATCCTGTGATCGGATGATAGCTCAGTTCACTAAGAAATAGACTTTCACAAAATGAAATCCTCTTTTCCTGCCGGTTGGGGCCTCTGGCAGTAAGCCTAATGAATGGGACATGGCAAAAGGCAGAAATTACCTGGCTATCTAAAATGGAGCACGGTCTGGATCCAAACTGCTGTGGTATTTAACGTTCATTACCTTCTTCTTGCACTTAGCTAAAGTAGAAATTGTATCTTTTCTCCTTGGTACCAAACATTTACATACATACAAGAGAAATTTACCTACCCTAGAACTCACTGCCTCATGGTTCTTGAATTTTGGTGGTGGTGCTCTCCGTTTGCAAGAGCATGACAACAGTGAAAGGCAAGAGGCGAGGAGATACTTTATAGGAATTTTACCAAATTAAATGAGCAACTGACTAAATGATATTTACTACAGATGTTAAATGAGATTATCTGATAAAAAAAACCTCCCACGGAGCAATACGGTTTAGTGAGAATGTCTGGATTAACCAGCACCCACTTAGACGCCTACTGGTTCAGGCCAGGACAGCGTTCCTGTCGTCTAACACCCTAACACCCTATTCATTCCGTCATGCATAGATACATCAGCGACTGTTACGAAGACCGTGGTGTGGAGGGCGAGGAGGAGTGGCAGGGCCTTTGTGACTGAAGCAGGGCCTTGATATGAAGCAAGAATCCAACAAACCCTGATCTCTGGGTTCATAAGGTGAGATTAAGGAGGGTTTACTGGGGTGGGGTGGGGTGCAGACAGGGTTGCTTCTGAGCACAAGCAGCCAAGGACCAGAAGGCAAGGAACTTGGGCTTGCACAAATTAGAAAAGCAAGGTGTGATAGATGCAACAGGGACATGGGGTGAGGAAAAGTCTGAGAGCTCCTGGGGTCTGACAAAATGCCTGGTATTTATTTATCCATGAAATTGCTACCTCTAGACCGTTCTGACCTATTGGAACAGCAGTTTTGTCTGGCTCAACCCCACATACGGTAAGTGCTCAGATCACAAGATCTTAGTTCGTAAAACTGTAGTGATATTCTCCCTGCCCTCTGAGGAAGTGACAGCGGTGAAGGAGGGCGAGGGTTCCTTCGAGATGCGTTTTGTGCATTGTTTCACAAAAGCCAAAGTGCCTGTCACAGGACTTGGCTGTCCGTCCACACCGCGTGAGGGCAGGAGGCGGCTAAGGACACCCCCTAGCTCACAGGAAGGATGCAGCTTCCCCCAGAAGGCGGCGAGTGAAAGCTTCACACCCAGGGTGGCAGATCAGTAGCCAAGGGAAAAGGCAGGATTGAAGGGCCAGGAACAGCTACCACCACTGTCACTGGGCATCTTCGAAGGGAACGCTGCATATGGCGTCTGTGTATATGTACTATACGTACTAACCAGGTACACACATAAATATTTAATATATAAAAAATAAAGTGCTTTCTAACAGGTCCCCAGGCAGGGACATTATAAAATATTTCACAAAACTGGAAAACAAAATCAGTACAATCAAAGAACACTACCTCCAACATACATGAAAACAGTCAAACACAGTATGTACAATCTGGTGGGTGCCCCAGGACAAACATCCTGTTATATACATGGTATATACATATATACTCTTTTACTCAATATATTATGACAATATATATTTTAAAATTCTGTTATAGACAAAAAGAAAAACCCCAAAAAACACAAAAGACGACCCCTACAAAAACACAATAAAGATCAAGCATGGGAGTCCGAGGCTGACAGCCCAGTGGCCGCGTCCGTGGGGCGTCCCTTGGCTGCCGCTGGGGAAAATGTGCCAGCGTTCCTTCCGCGGGTGCAGCGCCTCCACATCCTCCAAGGCACTGTGGGCGGCGGCGGTGAAGTTGGCATCACCAGTGGTGAGCAGGTCAAAGACACAGGACTGGAAATAGATGTCCTTCACTGGCATCTTCTCGTGGCACTGGGCATTGGCAGCCTCCAGTGTGTAGCCCGGCCAGGCCGGTGCCAGTGAGGTGTGAGGCACGCTGTGCCCCAGGATGGCAGACACCTGGCCCTGCCCGTCGTCGATGCGCTCGCTCAGGGGGCAGCCGTTGACACACAGCTGCAGGTCCTGACTTTCCTCGTAGGACATAGCCAGGTCCTCAGGCATGCGGATGGCGAGCGTCAGGTAGCGACCCAGCTGCCGCACGAAGACCGTGGTCCCTATGTAGCGGGCGTGCATCTCCACGTAACGGCCGCTCTCCCTCTCCAAGATTAGCAGACTCTTGGTGTCGCCATCCCCGCCGCTGGTGCTGCCATCCACAAAGGCAGCCGGCAGGTCATCGGTCACAGCTTGGTACACTTTCTGATCTGTACACTCCTTGTGAGCTTTGAAGATGATGGTTATCTGGGGGAAGGAACACACACAAATTGAAACAGGAGGGCAGGGGCAGAGGTGGTGTCGCCCGCCAAGCTGGAGGTGAATGGCCAGAGACAGAATCTCTAAACTCATTCAGCCCACGGGCTCCTGCCTCAGAAATGAAAGGTGTCACTGGTAAGGAAAAAGAAAAAGTCGTATAGGTTTAGAATAAAAATTTGATGCAAATCTGGGGAATGTACATTACAAAAAACTTTTTCTTTACTTTCCTAAAACAGAACTATGTTGCCGTTGGGGTACAGTGATTTTTACTGATAATCTGGTGTCCTGTCTTCTTCCCCAAACAGGTGAGGGGTGGTATGGCTCCGAGAAAAAGACTAAGTCAGGTAGAAACGTCAAGGGATGTAATTAATAATATACCCATCAGAACTTTGATTTCTACAAAGATTCTTCTACAAACTTTCTTACTAACACTCGGGAACAAAGCAGAGTTGAGGGGGGCCATCCCATCCACAGCCACCAATCATGTGCCTCAGCAAAGATTTCTCTAAATCTCTTAATCAAATGTCTCACATGATCGGCTAATCCCTGTGACTTGGAAATCACTTGGCAAATCCAGCTCCCAGGCCCTGGCAGAGAATAAATACCCTCAACCTAGTTACAGCAAATGTTTTCCCCAAACAGCACCAGGCCCTTGAACTTCTTGAATTTTTTCTCGAGCCAACTCTCAATTCTCCTAATTAAGCAGAAAAAACCTGATGCTATAGAAACTTTCCGTGTGTAAACCCATTTTCCTTCCTTATTTAGAACAATTACAAGACAACGTAATTGTTCACCTCCAAAATACTCCATATCCTCTGGTACACGTGGTGGAAGGGAAGAGGACTGAAGACAGACGGGGCCTTCTGGGTCACACAAGGTGGGAAGTAAGAACATTTTGAGATTTGTTGTTGTCAGGAACTGAAGTAATGGCTTTTCTTTCTTCTTAAAGGAAAAAAAAAAGTACTGGTCAAGGAAGAAGGTAGGCCACTCTACAGATTTCCCTGGATAGAGGAAACCTACCTCCTGCAAGGGAACTAATCCAAACAATAGACCCTTGTTAAAAAGGCCAGAAAATGCCCTGCCTGCCCCCTCCCCACGCCTCTCGACAAGTCCTCAACGCCACCCTCAAGTTTATGTCTGAAGTTTTTTTCCTCATCCAGGCCAGCATTTACTCACACTATTTAATTCCACATGTTCCCACTGGTGTTACTTGACTGGAATTTTCCAGCCATTTCATTTTACTTTAGCCAGTTATAAAGCTAGATCTGAACCAGCTGCACTGTAGCAACTGGTTAAATTCATATCCGTTGTTTGCAGCTGCAACTGAGAGCCAGACAATACACTATGAAAATGCTTGGTTTTCTCTCTTCCTAATTACCCTGACCCACAATTTAATTTCACTACCAGCCTTCTCAGATTTCAACACCTTCTTAACAACCCAAAGGAGGTGTACCAAAGATGACTGCCGGAAATTTGCTGTGCATCCAACCATAGGACCTTCCAGAGTGAATGGGATTTTGAGCGAGCTATCTAATGGGACTATAAAATAGATTTATTTGGTGGCTCTAAAGACAGTTTGACGAGTGTTTTTAGGGCAAGCTAGGATCCCTTGGAGGTGAAAAGATTAATTCAAGTAAATTCTGCACCTGAAAGAGTTGAAAGCTAATACAGATGGCTCCAATAAGGGTGAGTAAGACTTTTCATATAATGATTGTCTTCATTTTCAACTGGAGCATTCACATTCAAAGACTCTCTTTCTAGGCTAAGAAACCTCAAATTTAAACTAGATTAAAATTATTTGCAAGAATTAAGTACTTTTTTGTTCATCTCAGGAATAACAACGAGGAATTAGTTTTGTTGAGACAGTAAAACAGATCCATTTTCAAACTAGTTCCCAAACAGGCAAGCCAGCCTAGTGTATTCACTAAGCACACCAATTCCAACTCAGGAGTCATTTCAAACACCTCATGCATTACTGTCCTCTGCTAGGCCTGTGCCACTAACCCCCATACCTCCAGAAGATTAAATAACACTCAAAGCTTGACTTCTGCACCAGGATCTACACTGACCAAAGATCCCAGTTTACTTAACAGATTTTTGTCCAGTTTTCTAGGAGTCATTTTCTCCTTGAGACAGTGAAGCTGGTATTAATTTGTCTCTCTTCTAACTGAACTGATTCTCACACAGAGCAAATAAACGTACAGAATTAGCCTGTGCATCAAAATACTGAGGGTGATAATGGATCTATCTCCAACCACGGAGATAGATGAGTTGTCCTCTAGTCTGAGTGTGTAGTGAAGAGGAATCTAGAGGTACAATCAACGAAGGTGTAAAAAACACTAGGCAACTGTTGCACCTGACTTAACATTTTGTAATTTTAATTTCGTTCCTCATACAATTATAACTCAAGCTTTTAAAAAAGGCATTCAAGCCAGCTGGGGCCAGAAATTTTTTCAGAAAAACCAAACTTGTTCATTCTTATTAAGGTTTAAAAAAAAATTTTTTTTTTGGAAATTCCAAGTTTTTTTCTATTTAAGCTCTAATAGCAAAACAGGATATTCAAAACTGTATTGTAATGCTTTCAAGCAGGTAATTTAGAAACATCAGCCATGCCGCTTACTTTCCCCTTCCGTGAACTGATCCATATGCTGTAATAACTCATTTTGGCACATCTCTTTTCTGCCACACCATTTATTATTAATGGATGGCATTTCTGTGCATTTAAAACATCAATGCCTTTTGTTAAACCTTTCCCACCAAGTCCCTCTCAACCCCTACCTCAGACAAACTACTCTAGTTCTCCTCATTCATTTTTAATGCTTCACTCCCTGAGAACTTTACCACCCACACAAGGTCTATTAGGAAGACACAGATACCAGCTACAAATCAACCTTTCCACATGTGATAGAAGGATATGAGGTCTGTTGTGAAGAATCAAAATTTAGAGGCATCTGCCACTCCTTTTCACCATGAAAAGAAAATGCATTAAGGAAAACAAGGTAGCCAAGGGCGGAAAACCCAGGCACTGCTTTGCCAAGAGACAGACCTGGCCTCCCTAGGCTTGGCAGCTTTGCAAAGTGCTGGGCACAGGTTTTCAAACAGTAGATTCCCCGAACTCTGTACACTTAACTACTTGTGCTTCCTGTATTTTGGAAGAAACAATTACCAGTGTGTAGTCAGACTACTTGGTGCTGCATGTGCAGGACCGCACCAGGTTTGATATGAACCTGAGGATTCACCAGAATCCTTCAATTCTAGAACAGGACTCCCAGATCAAGGGACTCAGCTGTTGGATTAAAATGGGCCAACAAAGTAACCTGAAATAGTCACAGAAATTAGTAGAAAGAGAGGGAAACACAATTTTGGTAAGTACCTGGTTAAAATTCTGCTTGAGGTAAAGGAAGCTAAAACAAATTCTATTTCATATAATTAGCTGACATGTCTACTGCATCAAATCCTCTGGGTGCAATTATAGGTTGAAAAAATAGGCACCTCTGGGAGGCTAAGAGAAAACTGCTCACAGCCCCATTTACTCTTACACAGGTCAGTGGCATCCAGCCTCTACATTAAGTCCCCAAATGTGAGCAAAAATAAACTACTCCAGTAAGGGCACATGCTTCCAAAGAGAAAACTCACATGGAATTGTGAATTTTCTGATTACATGGACCAGGAATAAAATAGAAATATCTACTTTTGCCACAGCAATCAGACAAGAAAAAGGAATCATTCCAAATTGGTAACGAATAGGTACAACAGTCACTAATTTGCAGAGGACGTGGATATAGCCTCACCAAAAACCCCATTAGAAGAAATCAGTAAAGTTACAGGACACAAAATAGATATCTGTTGCCTTTTTATACACTACTGAGAAGTTATTAAAGAGTAATTAAGAAAATTACCCCATTTATAATTGCATCAAAATGAACAAAATACCTAGGAACACATTTAACCGACTAGGTGACATACCTCTACTCTGGAAACTACAAAACAACGATGAAAGAAATTTAAGGGACAAATAAATAGATGTACAAATAATTAAGATACACATGCTCATGGCCTGGAAGAATACCATTAAAATGTCCACACTACCCAAAGCAGTCTACAAATTAAATGCAATCTCCATCAAAATGCCAATAGCATTTTTCACCGACTACAATAAATAATCCTAAAGTTTGTATGAAATCCCCAAAGACCCTGGAGAGCTAAAACAATCTTAAGAACAACAAAGCTGGAGGCATCTTAATCCCTGATTTCAAGCTGCAGTACAAAGAGGTAGTAATCAAAACAGTAAGGTACTGGCACAAAAACAGATACAAATGTATATGGAACAGAATAGCCCAGAAAGAAACTCGTGCTTATATGGTCCATTAATCTGTGACAAAGGAGAACAAGAACATACAATGGAGAAAAAAGTCTCTCCAGTAAATGGTGTTGGGAAAAATAGACCGTTTTCTTACACTATAAAGGTAAAATCAAAATGGATTAAAGACCTAAATGTGAGACTGGAAACGATAAAACTCTTTTAGAAGAAAACCCAGACAGTAAACTCTTGAACATTAGACTTACCAACAATTTTCTCTGTATGTCTTCTCAGGCAAGGAAAACAAAAGCAAAAATAAACTATTGGGACTACATCAAACTAAAAAGGTTTTGCATAGTGAAGGAAACCAACAAAAAGGCAATCCACTGAGAGGAAGAAGGAATTTGCAAATGATGTACCTGGTAAGAGAATAATTTTCAAGATATATAAAGGACACCAAAATAAATCCAATTAAAAAATGGGCAGAGGAAAGGATTTAAAAATACAGATTCAAAGGGGGTACATGCACCCCGATGCTGATAGCATCATTATCGACAACAGTCAAACTATGGGAACAACCCAAGTGTCCATCGACCAATGAATGGATAAAGAAGATGTAGTATGTATGTGTACATTGGATTACTCAGCCAACAAGAAATGAAATCTTGCCATCTGCAGCAACATGGAT